AATATGAATTGCTTCCTTAACCCTACGTTTAAGATCATGACTCTCATTATCAATGATTTTTACATTGTTCCAGTTTATATTATGATCATATTCCATGGAATGTTCAATAACCGCAGAAGCAAGACCTCCAGTCGACAGTAATGTGGGTCTACGATGTTCTCTGATTCTAGTAACTAGTTCCTGCTTTGTTTCACCTACATAAGTGGCAATACAGTCTTTACAATCAATTTTGTAAATTACACCGGACTTCTTTTGATCATTAGTTTTGTCCTTTAACCTTTAGCGTGCTGCCGGCGGACGAGTCCGCCGAGACTAAAATGTCTCTCACAACTGCCGGCGGACCCGTACGCCCGATTTCAAACTTTTAAAAACTTTACTTTTTCGCGCCATTCGTATTGTCCAATTAGATTGCCCGATTTATTCAGTGCCTAACATGACTTCCTGTTGACCTAGAATGGCGATATTTCGAAAAATAATTCTCAATTCAACAATTTAAACAGTGTTTTAGTCGTTTTTAGTGAACGAATCGTACAAAATGGTGGACAAATACGATCACAACGAAAATGTGGAGGAAATGGATTGCGATTTCGAGCTCTTTAGGCTCTTGGAAGCCGATAACGGTCATCGAAAATAGAGACTAGAATATTTTCTGAATTGAAAAATTGAACATTCGATCGCTGCAAATTCAGATTTGGATTCTGACCAGACGAAGAGGCGGAGCGGCGGATTCCGGAGGAGTATTCATGGTATATTTATGCCCAGTCGTGTTAATGTACGAATAAATTCATGAGAACATTTTTTTCATGAGCCAGGCCACTGTATCTTCCCTTTGTGAAAATTTTATCCAGATTCATTCAGTAGTTATTGAGATATTAATTATTTAGTCCAGGCATATCATTTTTTGCACTCTTTGAAAAATAAGCCAGTTGCGTGGGATATATTTGCTGAAATAAGGCAGCATGGTAAAGGTTAAATGCACCAACTGTTTCTTGATAGTATTCTGCGATGAGAAACATACTCGGACACGATGCCTTTTAAAAATACGCCGTAACTGGTTGGAAATACTAGGGATATACGGAAGAACTGCAGTACACCTTATATCGTCATCATTTCTTGTTCTGTTTACATTATTTGTCGCATGTCTTTCACCTTCTTTAATCAGCCATTCCGGGTACCCACACTCCTTTAATGATCGGCAAACCAGTTCCTTTTCTTTCTTTAGATCTTCCTCTTTAGTTACCAATGTTTCTGCCCTCCTAAAGAGGGATTTGACAACTCCTCTTTTAGTATCAAGAGAATGATTTGATTGGAAATGCAAATACTGATTTGTGTGCGTTGGTTTGCGGTAAACACTAAATGACAAAGATCCGTCTTGTTCAATCTGGGACATCGTATCCAAAAATGGGAGACGTTTATCGGCGGAACATACTTCCTTGGTGAATTTTATTCTCTCGTGTTGTTTATTCAAATGTTCACTAAACGATTGTTCATCATCCCTCTTTATGATCACAAACGTGTCGTCAACAAATCGACCCCAAAATTTTGGAGGAATTGGAGCATTTTCAATGGCCTTTTCTTCAAGATTTTCCATGAACAGATTCGCTATGATCGGAGATAGGGGCGATCCCATTGCTGCACCTTCTTTTTGAATATAAAATTGGTTATCACGAATAAAGTAAGTGGTCTGAAGACAAAATTTCAAAAGTTCACCAATACTTGACGGTCTAAGTCAAATCAAAAGAAGTCCGGTGTAATTTACAAAATTGATTGTAAAGACTGTATTGCCACTTATGTAGGTGAAACAAAGCGGGAACTAGTTACTAGAATCAGAGAACATCGTAGACCCACATTACTGTCGACTGGAGGTCTTGCTTCTGCGGTTATTGAACATTCCATGGAATATGATCATAATATAAACTGGAACAATGTAAAAATCATTGATAATGAGAGTCATGATCTTAAACGTAGGGTTAAGGAAGCAATTCATATTAAAACAATGCAACCTAAAATGAACAGAGATAATGGGTATCAGTTGGACAATTTGTATCATAAAATATTGTAAATTAAGAATGGTATAGCAAAGTATGCAATAGTAATATTTGAGTTTAATTGTTACCATAACGATGATATATTTATCTTAAGGTTATTATTAGGTCATTCGTTTTTTCGTATCTATGTTTTTTGTTGTTGTTATTTTTTAGGTTACTAGGTCATTTGTTACATAATTAAATTTTCCATTGTCTGTTTATGACGTCACATAAATGTATACATGCTGTTATATTTTGAAAAAGACTAAGGGATATTAGTCGAAAGTCTCAATAAATTAAAAAATATTCTCTGAAGTAAAGAATTTGACTTGTTTCTGATATATTAACCAGAGAGATGAACTTACATAGAACTATAGAAAACTTATTTAAAATATGGGAATGGAGGAATCTTAGCCTAATAGGGAAAAATGTGCTCATTAAAGCTCTAGCCATTTCAAAACTTACCTACTTAGCATCAATAATACTTGTACCAAAGCACATCATCAATAAAGTTCAAAACATCATTAACAATTTTCTGTGGAACAAAAAGCCTCCACTTATCAGAAATTTAACAACTACGAGTATAGGCAAAATAGAAAAAGGTTGGATCAAAAGTTTACATTTTGAGTCGCAAATAAAAGCATTACAAATTCAATGGGTAAAAAGGTTATTCCAAAGCAAACCTTGCAAATGGAAACAATATTTTTACAGTTTCTTTCCAAATCTACAGCCTGAGGCAATCTTTCAATCTAAATTTCCAGTAGAAACCTTGGCTAGATTACCACCTTTTTACTTCAGTATTATGGAAACATGGAGATCTTTACATAATAAAGAGCCATATAATAAGGAACTCGCCTTAAATGAGTATATTTGGAACAATGATTTTATAAAAATTAATAATCGGACAGTGAGTTATGCTAATTGGATAAACAAGGGTATTCTTCAAATTAAAGACCTTGTTAACAATAACGAATTCCTGGGATTTAACTAATTTTCTCTTAAATACAACATTAATGCACCCTTCGTTACCTTTTACGGCTTAATCCACGCAATACCACATACATGGAAACAATTAATTAGAAATAATCCAAACTAGATAATGGCAACTCCGCGGAGTAGCAAATCCCAACGAACAAAATATCAATTACTGAATTCCAATCAATTATACTCATTACTTTGGTTAAAATTGAAAAAATTAGATTTTAGAATTGCGAATTCCTGCTAAGCAGCCATTTTGAATTTTCTGAGGTAACAATCTGAAAAATAATACCATAATTGTGATCTACTCCAAAAATCCTTCAATTTGAGTATAATATAGCCATACTTTGAAGGGATCGAAAAATTATTGCGAAATCGTACATAAGACGGCCATTTTGAATTTTACGAGGCTCGAATCAGAAAAAGATACAATATTTGCAATCTACTCTTAATTGCCTTTCATTTGAGTATAATAAAGCTATACTTCAGAAAGATCTAAAAATTAGCGAAAATTTCTGTTTTCCTGACCCCCCATACACGCCCCCTGGGGGTCAGGATGAAAAACACGGAATATATGTGAAAAAGATAAATGTTGTGAATATACTACCAAAATTTCAAACAATAATATTAATTACTTTGGTTTAGGATGAAAAATTTATGATTTTTGCGAAAAAGTCCCGTCATTTTTAAAGCGGCGGCCATCTTTGCGTAAAACTATTCACCAATATACATCTTTCCACTAAATATGAAGAAAATCCGTCTACTAGTATTTGAGTTATCTTCCGGACGGACAGACAGACGGACTGACGGACGGACGGACTGACTGACTGACGGACGGACGGAGGGCTTCACTATATCCCTACCGAACTTCGTTCGTTGGGATAATAATAAGAAACTTAAAAATGAAGAACTTCAAATTAAAGACCGCACAATCAACGTCAATGCTATTAAAACTAAAACTATTTATTGGTATCTCATAGAGGATTTATTCAAGGAACCAACTGGTAAGAAATTCCTAACTACAAAATTTAATGTCTCAGAAGAGGAATGGAAACACATTTTCACTTTGCCTTTTAAGACTGTACGTGAACTAAGAATACAATGTTTTCAATACAAACTCATTTTAAATCTAACGCCAAACAATAACTTTTTAACTCAAAAGAAGATCAAAATTCAAATTTGTGCAATATATGCAATAATGACAAAATCGATGATACCATACATTTTTATATTGAGTGCCCTGAAACTCTGCCAAGATTTGGGGCGAATTCAAAATTTTCTTCAATGTTGATTTAACAAATAAAGATATTATCATAGGAAAATTAGATGAAGAAAACGAGGATAAAACTAAAGCCATAAATTTTTGTATTTTGTATACAAAAAGTCTAATACATAAATCTAGACTGATTAAAACTAAAATCACCTTTATCCAAATAAAGGAAATCATAAAATATAAAATCAAAGAATTTCAAAAGAAACCTTCAATAAGACTTGGGGATGGGTTATTGAACTATTAAGCCAATAACTCTGAATTATATTTAAGGTATGGAGTATATATTATAAAACTGTGGTAACCTATATGTTATGTTATTAAAGACTATTGTGCAATTGTGATGTAAACATTTGTAAATTATATTGTTTGGAAATTCTCTGTACACATGGAGATGAGCTGTTGAAAATAGTATCTATTTGTAAAATGTAAAATAATTATATCACATATTTAAGGTATGGAGTATATATTATAAAACCATAGTAACTCATATGTTCTTGATGACTATTGTGCTATTGTGATGTAAACATTTGTAAATTATATTATTTGGAAATCCTCTGTACATGGAGATGAGCTGTTCAAAATAGTATCTATTGTAAAATGTCAAATATTTATATGAACATGTATGTATATCATGTATGATGTATGTGTAAGATCCAATAAAAAAAAATAAATAAAAAAAAGTAGTCAGAAAAATCAAGTGGAACACTGTATGTGAAACTTACCAATGGAATACTATTTCCTACTTCATCCTCAACATCTGTCTTGGAGGAAGATGTGTGAAGCTTTTGTCGTTGTCGCTTAACCTTTCCCATTTTATTAGTATAGCCTATAGGTAGTCAATAATAGGAACTGGACAACCTTCACTGGAAAAAATATATAAAAAGTATGAAATTCAGTGAGAAAATTCAGTGCAAAGAAAGTTATTAATTTATTAGAAAATGGTTTTTGGACATCTGTTGCCGAATACAGAAGAAAATATTCTAAGATGGCAATGTCAAATATTGTAAGAAGTTAAATTTTGGAACTTTGCTGCAATCTACGATCACAATGTACATTGTCAGAATGACCCGAGTCTATATCCAATGGACTGTATTAAAAGTCAAATAACTGCATCCATAGGTTATTTACTCGAACCAAACAAGTAGAAATAGAAAGATGAAGATCTCAGCTATAAAATAAGTGCAAAATTTGTCATGGGGAAGCAGGTACCATTTTGTACAAGGAACATTTTTAAAAGGTGGTCATTTTTTTTTGAAATTTTCCTATTTACTATTTTTTTCATGGCCTGAGTTCGTCGCTAACATGCTAAATATAAGAGTTAGCTGACGTTTGGGAGTCTGACTTACCTTCTAAAGGTTAGAACCCAAATCTTAATGAAACCATATCACCTTTGTTCCGTCAACCATGGAGCATTTGCCACAACATCCAAGAGGTAAATCATTGATCGTGAAAATGAATGATTTCCTTGTAAGTTCTGGAAGTTTCAATACGAAAAATTACCGAACATATGTGAAAACCGAATATTTGTTCGTTGTTTTCACGATTTACAGGTTCGTTTGTTCTCCAATGTTTTGGTCAAAATTATAAAGCATCACCAACAGGTCTTACTGTATTAATCGACTCATACAGCAGACGGCTCATATTTCTACGTAGCATTTTGTTCAGACCAATAGTGGGAGTGCAGATCACGCAGTTTTGTTCGTTGCGTACTTCACTTGAAATTGGTAATTTTAAATATTGGCTACTTCACTTAGCTTGGCGGATGTAGAACATTGCTTAATATTCTTTTAATTTTCACACCAGACATGCTTGGTTGACACGTCAACAAAGTAAAGTTCAAGGGTCAATGCGTTATTTAGTGATAACTACAACGCCTTCCCGGAAGTCAACATTGGTGAAAAATGAAAAAGTCGGAAAAGCATTTACATGCATCATCATCGATGCAACAAAGGTGATATGGTTTCATTAAGATTCGGGTTCTAACCTTAAGAAGGTAAGTCAGACTCCCAAACGTCAGCTAACTCTTATATTTAGCATGTTAGCGACGAACTAAGGCCATGAAAAAAATAGTAGTGTCGTATCTTGTGAATTATTCTTTGAGCCTATGAGATCCTACTACAAAACGATCTGGCCAATATCTGTGGGCAGGTATAGCATTTAAAAAAAAATGTTGTTTGGAAAGAATAATTTACAGACTGTAAGGTTAGAAGTCCATTTCACTGCTTCATTTCGTCAGTAGAACGGCAAAAATAAGAAATTGGGAGACCATTGTGCAATAATATATGGAAAAGTATATTCATAATGTACATGAATGACATTTGTATATTTCAGATTTTTTAGTTTTTTGTGCAATAAGCCTGTGCCGTCTTGTAATTTGAAGAATTTCAGCCATGTTAATCTTATTGAAAATAACATGGCAGAGAAACATCCAAATATAAGAGTCCACACACCTTATAAGCTAAACTAGAAGCAATCCAAGATATACAAATGTCATTCATGTACATTATGAATATACTTTTCCATATATTATTGCACAATGGTCTCCCAATTTCTTATTTTTGCCGTTCTACTGACGAAATGAAGCAGTGGAATGGACTCTACAGTGGGGATCATAAAGAATTGCAAAAGCTATGAAAATTACATGCTGTCGCACATGTAATAAATTCTTACCTCAGTGTATTCAGTGCTCTATTTTCTCCGTCTGAGTAAGTCCAAATATAGTGGAATGTGTGTCCCTAATGACAAATAAGAACTTCAAAAGTTGAAGTGGATATTCACATGTTATGCCGACTCTTCAAATGTTGAGGTGATTTTGTCGCCCGATTGCGCCGGAACGGAGGATTGGCTCCCAGAATGCAACATGACACTTGTCAGCTTTCAAAATGCTGTTCCGCCATTTTGAAACCTGTCATGAGTAAATACGGTAACTTATGTTGCATTCTGGGAGTCAACCCTCCTTGGATAACAAACATGGCGATTCATGAAAACATTTAGACGGTGAACACCGCCTCTAATGCGTTGGATTGTCGTAAGGACTTGCATTAGAGGCGGTGTTTATCCTTGTAAATTCATGCCAATCTAAGTTTTTCTTAAATATTTTGACGGTTCACTTTATTTTAATCTTCTGCTTAGAATCTCTGCGTCATTTACAGAGAAATATAAACAAATTGAATACATTGATGATTTATACAAAAATTTACCATAGCTTTGTGGTTGTAGAAGGTTGAATTGTGCTAATTTTGTAGCAAAATCGCCGTTTGTCGCTACTGTTCACAAAATCTTTATGGCGGCTTCTATTCTCACGAGATTTGACGAGAGTAGCCATTGAATATTGCTGCCATCTATTTAACTATACAGAGTTTATATCATTCATTCGACCATCATGTATTCGATGGAAGAAATCAATGATCTCTATTCGCATAACATAAAACCAACGTTTGGATTTGATTTGAAGCCAGAACAGTTACAAGACGTGATAACAAACATATTGAATCAAGAATCCACTATAGCAGTTTTCACCACCAACTGGTTATTGGAAAACATTACAACCCGTGATCAAATTACGTCACGTCACGTGATCATCACACTGATTTATGCAACGCATGCGCACTTGAAATTAGGTCAGCGAAAATGTCAAGAAGACCGGTCAGAAATACAATTTCGTCTTATCTGCAACGATGTCACATAATTACTGTAATATTGCGAGGCATTTACGGGTTCATTTTGAAGATTTTTGGTCCCGCTATCCAGTGGTGAAAGAATTTTCAAGATTGAGGTAAGATCTTGGGAGAAAAGTCAAAAACATCAGATCCGGACTTTTCAGCATTTCTTAAATTTGATAAATTTACATTGCACGTTATGCACCCCTGGGGCCAACACAATCCTCAGAGACCCAGAGTGTGCATGAATGCACCTAGAAAACATTCATTCGATTTGGTAGGGATTTATCCATTATTTGCAGGTATGAAGCTTTGGATTCATTTATTGTGCTACTTTAGTGAACGGGAATTATTTTTCTACCGCTTGGGAGAGTTTGAGACACGAAACTTGGAAATTAGCTCATTGTGACTTATCCCGTTCCCGGACTATGGTCCTGTGAACATCTCAATCTTTTGCCTGTGCGATTACAACATGGGAGAATTTTTTACTCATCTTACACTTCAGATACCTACTTCACTAGATTCCTTGGTAATTTAGCATTCTTTTCGTGTAGTTGAATCCACAATTGTCTGGGTTTATCGGCAGAACGAAGACATTTTCGTTTTTGATCGCAATATTTGCGTGTAACATTTAACTTATTTCAACCGTCAAATTCCTCCATATTGGTACTTCCGGGCTACATCCGGGACAGCCAAACGGGGGATTCCCCTTTTAAATCCAACCGCCATTTTGAAAAGTGATGGAATCTCTCTCGATGAAAAAGAGAAAATGTTCCCGTTCTGCCGATATACCCAGACAATCGGCGGTTCCAATATATTAGAAGTTACATCTTGAGTTCTATAATGCATTGAGGTAGGTATCTTAAGTGTAAGGGGCGTAGATAATTCTCCCAAGTTGAAATCGTACAGGCAAATGAATGCGCTCAGTGACTATAGTCCGGGAACGGGATAAATTGTGACAACTTGTGAACGTTGAGTTTTATTTTTGTCCCCCACTGTACATCTCACTTTTGAGAAGAAATAGAAATATATCTTACTGAACGCTTCTGTCAGCTCGGTAGAGAAATCTATCTGAAATCCTGGATATGCAATATCTTGTGGATAGATCTACTTTTTCTTTTTATAGATCTGAACTAAAGATTTTCATCTTCTATTTAAAGCAGTTTATATTCAAAAATGTGTTTTTCATGGCCGCTGACATCTTTTTTTTTACTGTTGCGCCACCTGGCGAACAGTTCAAGCTAAACTGAACTGAGGAAATATTTGTCTGAAAAAATTTGAAATATCTCACAGGATATTGCCTTTACTGAAACTGGTAAGCAATGTTGAATATTTAAACTGATGATTCGGTATTATTTGATTAATCCCATGACATAAATTGTGAAGAGGACTCGATTTATGGCCTACAGGCCTATTTGTCTATATATTTACTACACTTCCGTTCAATGAAATATTTTTAGGTAGATCTAGACTAAGAAACTTAGATCTAGCCTAGATCTAAGTTCTTCGCCAGCTAAAATGTCACTCGACTTTTTGGCAATTAAAAGTCCCTGCCTGCATTTAGTAGTCATATATTGTTATGTGCATAATTTTGAAACCATATCCTAATTATTTCACAAACCCTTTGTTGATTCTGCCATAGTTTCCAATTTGTAAACAGCATTTAGCCTTTTTAATTGGGAACTATTTTGAAATTTCCAAAATGGCTGCCATGTGATTCCAGAATTAACATGAGTGTGACGTGAAATCACAGTTGCTCGTTCCTAGGTAACAACAAGATCATACATGTAATTGCTCGTTTCTAGATAGCAACAAGATTTTTGATAAAATGGCACAGAATTACCCTGATTAACACCCTTAAAATCTGATTTTCAAAGAATATATTTGGAGAAACAATAAAAGGTAAGTGGAATAAATTAGAAGATGGTTTCAAGTTACCACAGAAGTCAATTTGAAACTCAAGAATGCTTTCTTTGACGCATAATCACAAAAAAGTCGAGTGACATTTTAGCTGGCGAAGAACTTAGATTTGATCGATTCAGCCGGTTGGATCGTGAAGTGTCCGTTATGTCAACATGGCTCCTAAAGGGTAGAAGACACTAAATAATGTAACACTGTAGGCAGAATTTTGTCGACATAGAGCATGAGCACAATTTCAAAGACATACAAAATTGAACTGTCAAAAGAACTGAAATATACTTACCAGCTCGCCTCTTCCGGAAGTTATGATATGTTATGGTGTAACTACGGTAATTAATTTTAAAATATTGAAAAAATCACAAAATACGAGTTCTGAGGTATATATCGCCATTTTCAAGCGAATTAGCCCATATTATGACTATATATCCGCACCCCCATATATATAAACTTCATCTTTACAATAAATTGAGCTTCTTTCAAATTTCCGTTTTTGAGATGAGTGCCATTTTCTTACCATTCAAACCATAAAAACAGTTGGAAAGTGCTTCCCAGTTGAGGTTAATGGGTTTTATACTTACATTAATGTATGGAGCACGATGTACTTAGAATCGTATAAATAGCTCTATTCACCTTTCCACAAAGTAAAAAAATCAATAATTTCCGGCGCGCTGATTGGTTGTATGCAAATGAGTCAAATCAATGACGTCAATGATGGAAAGTTTTGAATAATTAGTACAGCCAGCACAGGATTATTTTGAATTAACTGCAATAAAAAGGATTCTATTTGCCCAACGCACTAATTATTTTTAATCAAATATGAAATATGGACGGGGCACTTTCATTCCGAATCTTATGTAATTTAATTTAATCATTTTTTGACAGAACTTTTGTTTATTAAGACTTCTCAGATCAGCCTCACATACCTGGGCTCACATGTCTCGTGCGATTGTAAACAAAAAATGTAAATTGTGAAGTTACAAACAACTCAGGTTAATTATCTGGTAGTGGTCATACACTATCCTGTTAAATGGTTATGATGTCGTAGTGAGAAGTTCCATCAGAAATTCCCCATGAGTGACATTCGCGCAAAGCGTTACCTTTTGGTATTTATTCGCCATCAGCGATGTCAATAATGATCAGCAATGTCAACATATCATCAATAAACATTATATGATATATGCTCTTTCTCTGAAATCTTCCCAGTGATCATTATTCAAAACCGATCATCACATAACTAATTTATCCAATGACAAGCGAGGTTTCCCAAGTGAAATCAGGACACCCATATCCATGTTTGTTTTTCTATTTTAAAGCGTTCTCATTCTCATTATTTTCGAGAAATCCATCATCATTTTGGTTAAGAAAAATTCTATGGTCTGCGCAATCTATTTTGACAGTTTTGCTTGAGCAAGATATTTTAACAAATTGACTGTTTCTACACTGAATAAAAAAATATCCCGGGAAAATTTGTATCGGGAGATACGCTGCGGGAAATATACATTGGAATATATATATATGTTTATCCGATATTTGGACGTATATTGGACGTATATTGGGAATATTTGAGAGAACAGGAAAATCCGCCCACGACCAAGAAAACAAAACTGGACATGAATATTCTAAAATATTTCCCCGATTGAACAATGTGAACCAGATGACCAAGATTGGTATGGGATAAACATATAATCCTATAGTCGGGCAGATATATTGTATTTGCCTCGGGATAATCCCAATATCCTGAACCTCATATAGGATAATCTTTATATATGTCACGCTCTTCCAAGATATCAATTCTATATCCCAATGTTTTCAAGTATAATATTTTCAAGATACGATCTGATATGACTTGCAGAAATAAATTGGAAGTAATCGTCTTAAGTTGATTGAATTATTGAAGTAGTGAAGTCAATGATTTAATGAATAAGAGCAAATGTTTTTAATTTGAACGGGTCATTCATCAAATGACACTGAAGATTAACTTAAAATAGATGTCTATCTATATATTTTTATGCATGGGAGACATGTTATAATGTTGGTGAACTAATGATTATGATAATTTCACCTGTTCAATGCTTGTTCAAAAAGTTCACCATATTGATACCACTCCTTTAGCTGTACTCAGCCTGTATCTTGTATTTTTACAATTCAAAAAGTTCTTTGGTCCCATTGACTTAACATGGGATGTACCAAAATAGCCATTTTTGAAACTTCAAAACGCCATAACTTCCAAACTGGAAGTCTGATCGAATTTTGGTTTGCAGATTAGAATTCCTGAGAAAATTCTTCATAACGTATATGTTAAATTTGGAGTATTCTTTACATGAAGTGAGACGATTTTTTCAGGTATAAAGTGCACAATGTGCAGGACAGGACTACTTAAATAATTCCTTGTAACATGAATCCTGCCCCCAAATATATTGATATATTATACAATTTTCACAATGAAATGCTCATCTACATGTATTTGTTAGGAAAATGGGTTGAGGCTGATCAGTGCTTCAAAATGCTACATAAAAGAAAAGACTGAATTAAACATGAGGTAAAAAATGAAAATGGTTTAATAAGCTAACAATGGGAACTGGGAGCTCACTATTCCATCGCAATGATGAGGACGATGTCCTGGGGATGGAGTATGACAGCAACAGCCAGGGAGTGATTAAGAGAATTCCAATTGAAGTCAAACCAAGAGGTAAGCTAAGTATCCAGTATAACTTGAAAATGGATTATGAAAGTGGTCTGTTTTCATAAGTATAATTAACATATAGGGTGGTCCAAAAAGTGATCCCTTGCACAAGCTACATGTCAGTTATTACTTGCATTCATGGGCTAATATTCTCACATCAGGGGTGTAGGAAGGTGTAAATTCAACACTATGCAAATACATATGAAAAATTGTGTCAACTCTTCAATATCAAAATACAGATGTACCTATATTTGGATGTAAATGTCATCTTTATGGTACGTCTCTAATAAATGTCTTAACATGTTCAAATGTTTTTCATAATTTCAAATCACAATGGAAAGCCAATCTTTGAAAGCTCAACAGAACTCATTCTCACTTTTCTAATGATAATCTCTCGAATGCTAAAACTGATATTGCCTGACTCCATCATGTACCTTCTTACAAAATGTTAATGAAAATAAAATAGTATGAACAATTGAATAATATGAAAATGACAATGTCACTGCTACCCACCTAGTTACACAGACTTATCGTCAGTGTATCATGGTGGAACTACTTCCAGGACTAGGTTTCGGTAAGATTTTTTTATTTCCCGATTTACACCTACTTATAAGTCACGTTGTAGATAATAATTTTGCTCGAAGTTAAGGAAGATAGTCTAGCTTGAGAATGTGTCGATGGTTTTAGGTTTTATATGTTAACGAAGACACAATTCATGTATTTAGTCCCTTGCTTTTGTAACACCGACAGACGACCAATATCACACTGACGAATCTTTGATTTGGAGCTGTTGCAACACTGACGAACCATTTTAACAGTTGTGTATACTAGGTACCAATTTTGTATGTATGGTTAAACTATTTCAGAGAGTCATGGATCGTGAACCTATGAATTGTTTAATTCTTTTGGTTAATTCATGACGATAAGGGTTTCCTGAAGAGATTTAGCTGGGTTGGACAAAAAGTTAGTATGGGGAAAAAATAATATAGGCTAATTAGCGAGGCCATTATTAAAATATTGATTGTTCTCTGAATCTTGAAATGTAAAAATGATAGCAGCATAATTAGTTTGGCTAAACTCGTGTTTTCAGGATTAATGAATAAGATATTGTGGACATATACAAGAATAATGTATTAGATAGAGTGCATAATTGCAACTTATATTTTACACTCCCCTCCATAAGTTTGGTAACCTAGCTAGGGAGTGTACAATTGAAATATCACATTTATTCATATATTTTCTATATCGAGTTTGTAATACAATGACAATTACTGACTAATTATCTAATTAAGGGTTTCTTTATTGATTTAATTGAATTACCAAAAATAACAACTTTCGGGGAAAATTATATACCCTCTGTATCAAAAGTCTTTTCCTATTGAGAAAACCCTTAAATAACTTTTGTATAAGGCAAGTAAACTTAATGAAACTTTCCACGCATAATTTGAGGCATATAATACACCCTCTGTGAAAATTTGGAGACAATTGATTGATTTTTACTCAAAATATCACATACTAGCCTTGCCCAAGTCGGTCTCTTTTACTTATCTTGATTTCTATTATGACCGCCTTGTACCAAAGAGAAAGCCACGTGCTTTACCGACAGTTTGTTGATGTCGGTAAAATTTGACCAATCAACGACGGCCCTGTAGCGTTAGCTCATTATTATGCAAGGTCAAAAACAAGTACACTTTTCACCGGGACTTTTCACGAACAAATCTTGCACGAATCTGATCACGAATTCATCATGAAAATACAAATATTTTATCAGATAAATATCAATGAGAGTTTGGTGGATGCCGGGACATCGATCGGATAACCAAAGGTGAGAAGATTTCAACAATAAACGTTGAAACGATCGCTGAACATGTAGAGATTCAATCACCGATCGATTGACACCATGACCCGCTACATTGGACTAGGTCTTCGTACATTTTCATCGCGATATCAGTTTTAAATCAACATTGAATCGCATGATTTGATTTATATTAATGACTCTTACCTTCCAGTGAACATTTAATTACATATTAATATATTGTTACTCTAAAGAAACACTCGATCAGATCATTGAACTTCAAGTCGTAGATAGGAAGTTTGTTTTGTTTATGCAGCTTAACCTAATAACGTTTTGATTGGTCATTCAGCCTGAAGTCACACGTCGTGTCCACGCGTTATCTGTCAATCAATAAGGTTTCGCGATACTCCTGATAGCGTAGGTATTATGGAAATCTCGAAACCGTTGAATATTTCAGCATAATAACAGCGGAGATGTATTGGATTGTACAAGGCGGTAATAATTCAAGATCAGATAAGTAAAAAATACCGACTTGGGCAAGGCTAATCACATACAGAACATAGCATATACCAAAATCACCAATGTGACTTTTTCCAAGTTTGTGACGTCAAACTTACCTAAGATTGCCAAACTGATCAAAATCAGGTTGCTCTGTAAAAGTATGCAGACAAAAGTCTTTATATATAAAATGCTAATTATGAGCAGAATGTGTTATTAGGAGGCCCTCCTGAAAGGCCCTCCTATAGCTTTTGTAGCTTTTCTTTATTCTTTTTATTAGGAGGCCCTCCTGAAAGGGCCTCCTATAGCTTTTGTAGCTTTTCTTTATTCTTATTCTTTATTCTTTATTTATTATTCTTCCAAAGCATTTTTCTCCTACTTCCAACTACCTTTCAACTGCCTACTATATGATCCTACTAGTAACCTTGGCTGGAATAGGGGGGAAAATATTTTTTATCTAGGTCAAGGTCAAAGGTCAAAATCTAGGTTAAATCTAAGTTTTTTTTCAAGTTTCTCAAGTTTGTCATCATACTTCATTATTTCTTGCGATGAATTAAACTGAAACTACATTTAAGTATTCTTTTCAAATTGTTCACTATATGTCAGCATTAAATTTTTACCGTTTTTTAGATATTTGACGTAAAAAAACGGTCAAAAAAGGTCATTTTTCAACTTGCTTCAATCTGACCATTTTTTTTTTCAAAATCATCTACAAGTTCCCAGGAGTCCAAATCTGACCTCAGATTTGACCTTTGACCCTTAGTTGAACTTCAGTGACCTTCGAAAGGTCAGAAAAGTTGATTTTTCAAATTGAGTCTTTGGATTCAAATTTAGGTCAGTCTAATTACAAAAAGCCTCCTGAGGTCTAAAAAAGTAAAAATTTCAAGGTCAAAGGTCAAGGTCATCAAATTAGGTCACAAACTGTGCTATCTAAGTTTCTCATAGTTCTAGACTACAAATCAATATTCTTAATTGAAAGTCAAGATATACATTCCTCTAAGGGTTCTACACATATTAGCAATTGACAGCTTATTAAAATTTTGTCCCAGTTTTGAGATATAAGAGCTCAAAAACTGAAAAAGGTCAATTTTTCAGAGTTTATAAGGTCAAATTTTAACTTGCTTCAAATTCACCCAATTTTTTTTGAAAATCATCTACAACTTCTCAGGAGTTCATATTTAACCACAGATTTGACATTTGACCTTTAGTTGACCTTCAGTGACCTTCGAAAGGTCAGAGAAGTTGATTTTTCAAATCGAGTTTTTGGATTCAAATTTAGGGTTAGCCTAAGCATAAAAGACCTACTGAGCTCTAAAACAGTAATATTTTCAAGGTCAAGGGTCAAGGTTATCAAATTAGGTCAAAGGTCAAAATCTAGGTCAAATCTTATTTTTTTTAAGGTTCTCAACTTTGTCCTTATACTTCATTATTTCTTGCGATGAATTAAACTGAAACTACATTTTAATATTTTCTACAAATTGTTTACTAAATGTCAGCATCAAATTTTTACCGTTTTTGAGATATTTGACGTCAAAAAACGGTTGAAAAATGTCATTTTTCAACTTACTTCAATCTGACCAATTTTTTTTTAAAAATCATCTACAAGTTCCAATGAGTCCAAAGCTGACCTCAGATTTGAGCTTTGACCTTTAGTTGACCTTCAATGACCTTCGAAAGGTAAGAAAAGTTGATTTTTCAAATTGAGTCTTTGGATTCAAATTTAGGTCTGCCTAATTAAAAAAGACCTACTAAGGTCTAAAAAAGTAAAACTTTTCAAGGTCAAAGGTCAAGATCATGAAATTAGGTCACAAACTGTGCTATCTAAGTTTCGAAAAGTTCGAGACTACAAACCAATATTTTTAATCCGAAGTTGAAATATACACATTCCTCTAAGGGTTCTACACATATTAGCAATTGACTATCTAATAGAATTTCGTCCCAGTTTGAGATATAAGAGTTCAAAAGTTGAAAAAAGGTCAATTTCGAAATTTTTCAAGGTCAAATTTAAACTCGCTTCAAATTGACAAAATCTTTTTTTGAAAATCATCTACAAGTTCTCAGGAGTTCACATCTGAACTCAGATTTGATATTTGTCCTTCAGTTGACCTTCAAATTGACAAAAAATGCCTAAGAGGGCCTCCGTGAGATTGCTTGCAATCTTCAAAAGTCTAGTTTCTTTATTATTCTTCCAAAGCATTTTTCTCCTACTTCCAACTAGCTTTCGACTACCTATTATATCCTCCTACTATATACCTGGGCTGGAATAGGAGGGAAAATATTTTTTATCTAGGTCAAGGTCAAAGGTCAAAATCTAGGTCAAATCTAAGTTTTTTTTTAAGTTTCTCAAGTTTCCCCTTATACTTCATTATTTCTTGCGATGAATTAAACTGAAACTACATTTAAGTATTCTCTACAAATTGTTCACTATATGTCAGCATTAAATTTTTACTGTTTTTTAGATATTTGACGTCAAAAACGGTCAAAAAAGGTCATTTTTCAACTTGCTTCAATCTGACCAAATTTTTTTTAAAAAATCATCTACAAGTTCCCAGGAGTCCAAATCTGACCTCAGATTTGACCTTTGACCCTTAGTTGACCTTCAATGACCTTCGAAAGGTCAAAAAAGTTGATTTTTCAAATTGAGTCTTTGGACTCAAATTTAGGTCAGTCTAATTACAAATAGCCTACTGAGGTCTAAAAAAGTAAAAATTTT